GCAGCCGTGGTCAGGGCACCAGCAGCCTCTGGCAGCCTTGGAAAGGTCTGCTTTTCCTAACACAGGCATCTCCACCTGGAGCAGCCACAGCTCCTGTGTACTCCTGGCTGTCTGTCCGTGACCTTGGGGGCGGGGTGGGGATCAGGAGCCCTGGAGCACCTGCTGTCACTTCAGCTTCCAGGGGCTCAGAGGCACGGGAAATCCAATCACTTCACGGTTGTGTAACTTCGAGTTACAGCCACATTCAGCAGCATCTCAGGAGGGTTCTGCCAGAGGCCCAGCAGTGCCCAGTGAACTTGACCGGGTCCAGCTATAACAGAGTTCGCATTGTCCAGTGGCAGTGGGCATGACCTTAGAGAAGAGGAGCAACTGTGTCTAGAGGAGGTCCCAGCAGCTGGGGTCAGACGGACGTGTGCCTGGAAGCATCAGCAGAGTCCTGCTGGTGGCCTGAGGTGTCGCGGTGTGTGTCTTTGGGCAGAGACCAGGACACCTTCTTGCAAGCAGTGTGTTCTGAAACCTCCCGCCTCAGGCCCAGAAGGTCTGCTTGTTTTTCCAGTTCCTGAGGTCAACAACCTTGAACATGTCCTTCAGCAAACCAGAGAACTCACATCAGAGGCAGGTCCAGGTTGGTCTCGGTGGAGCTGTGCACAGCCGGGGTGACCTCTGGCCGAGCAGCCCGCTGACGGGCAGTGCTTCTGGGAAAGCGTGGCTTCCAGTGACTTCTGCCTCCCTCCAGGTGTGCACTGGCTGCTCAGTGTGGTCCAGCCCCTCTCCCTCTTGGTCCCATAGCTAGTGGACTAGGATGAAGAATATGCACAAAAACATCCATGGAAAATTAACTTTTGTTCTGTTTCTCCTTCCCTGTCAGAGAGAGAAGCCAATTTACAAAAACCAGTCCATCCCAGGGAGGCAAGACTGAGAACTTCCCCCTTGTTGAACCCAGGACAGTTCCAGTGCTAAGCCTACGCTTAACGTCGTATATGATACTTTGTCCATGTCACTGAATATTCTTTGAAAACATTACCTCTTTCCATCTTAAAACTCTTAAAGCAGTGAGTTTGCAGTGGAGAAGTCTGGAAAACACTGCTGTACCATGTGATGAAGGTCACCATCGCCTGTGATGGCACATGCCTGATAGGGTGTGAGAAGAAGGCATTTCCCCTCTGGAGCATTCTTGCCTCAAACCCTTAAGACCAGTTTAATCGGGAGAAAAATATCAGAGTAACCCAAATTGAGGAACACCCCACAAAATACCTGAGTATGACGCCTGAAAACTGTCAAGGTCATGAAAAACAAGGGAGGCTGAGGACTATCGCAGACCAGAGGAGGTGGTGGAGGCATGACACCACTGCCCCCTGAAACAGGAAAAAAGACATCAGTCGGGAAACTGGTGAAATCCAAATAAGGTTTGCAGTTTAGTTAATAGTGACATACCAGTGTTGGTTTCTTAGTTGTGACAAGTGTACCACGATCACGTAAGATGCTAACAGTGGAAGAAATGGGTGAGCGGTATATAGAACTCCATGATTATATCTGCAGCTTTTCTGGGAGCCTAAAGTTATTTCAAGAGAATCCATTTATTATTAGAAGAAAACCCTACAAAAACCAATCACTCTTTCCTTGGCTTGCATGATATTGTGACACTATATTCTTCGTGTGTGTGTGTTTTTCCCCACCAAATGACAGCTACCCCATTTAGGTACTGTGAATAAAGTGGCCAACAAGGCAGACCCAGGCTGGTTCCTGCCCTCAGGGGAATATACTTTATTTAGAGCAGAAACTTTGGATTGAGTTGAACTTGAGGTTGCACCACCAGCTCTGCTTCTCCCTAGATATTGCATCCCAGGTAAGTCACTTCATCTACTGAAACTTCCATTTTTCTCCTCTGTAGAAAGTGAACAATGATGTCTACATTATAGTATTGATGTGAAGATTCAATGAGATACTATGCAAAGTCCCAACCCATAGTAAATGTTCAATAAATATTTATTTTTAAATATGTTTTTGCTGATTTTTTAGAGAGAGAGAGGAAGGGAGCAAGAGATAGAAACACTGATGTGAGTAAGACATCGATCGGCTGCCTCCTGCACGCCCCCTCCTGGGGATCTAGCTCACAACCCAGGCATGTGCCCTGACTACGAATTGAACCAGGACCTCTCAGTCCATGGGAAGATGCCCAATCCACTGACCCACACTGGCTGGGATCAATAAATATTTATCAAAGAAACCATCTGACACCTGGATCACGTCTGCAGCCTCCCATGCAGTTTCTCTATCTCTAGTTTCACTTCTATGGAAGGAGTTTAATGCAAAAAGCATCCAAGAACACCACCACAAAAGGTAAATCCTGGGGATAAATAAGTACAGGCTGTAAAAAAGAGGTGCTCTCATGAATCAATGGAGGAATCAGCAAACAATTTGGTAAAGGCATTGGGCCAAAATCTGGGCAAAACCTTACTTTGATTACTTTTTTATGACAATAAAACATTTTAGAGTATCAGGAGGCAGAGAGACTGGCTGGGTTCCTAAACCAACTCTACCACCTTGGGCAAATTACTTAATTTCTCTGTGCCTACTTCCTCATCTGTGAAATATGGGTAATAACAGTACTTAACTCATAGACTTGGTGTAAGGATTAATACAGGTAATTGAAATAGGTAAATATAGGATTAAGATAGGTAAAGCATTTAGACCAGTCCCCGACTCAAAGTAGCACTATATGTGTTACTTATCACTGCCCATTTATCCCCAATACCTCGTGGTGCTAATGGCACCTCTGCTCCCCCTTTCTTTGCCCAATGGTGAAAGATTTCCATTATCCAGATGGACCAGAATAATAGTTCACTTGGTCTTAAGGGACCTGGTCAAGTCTCTATCTCTTCCATAATGACCAGGACATTCCATAGTGGGGGAGTCTTTTCACTTAAAGAAATTAGTTCTTTAGAGCATTAGTTGGATGCCATTGGTGACATCCAATCTCAACTCTTACCTCATTTGGGACCCTGACAGCCAGATCGTGATAGCTTTCAATATAGATTACACAACAACTTCCTTTTTTTTGGTAGTAAGCCTTATTTTTTAAAAAAGGTTTAAATTTACAGAAAAAAACATTTGAATATTAGTGTAGAGAGTTCCCAAACACCTGGCATTCAGTTTCCCGTGTTATTAACATTATCTTGCCTCTTAAATTCAATAGTATGTCTTTGAGAACACCCATGTTGACATATAGATCTAATTTATTCATTCTAACTGCAGCGTAGTATTCCATTAACCTGGAAGCTTTTCATGGTCTCACATGGCACAGGCTTTAGTGCTGGGAACTCCATCTTCCTCTTAGTGAGGTCTATCACATCCCGAGTTCGGCAGTGAAGACACCTACATAGCAGTAATGTTATAAAATATCATCTGGTTTTCAGTGCTAAGAATCAATCTACACGCAAAGGATGGGGAACTAAATCACCTTTACAGAATAAAATGTACATGCTACAAGGCTTGAGAAAACAAAAATAAAAGCTGAGTTGATGGAGGAAGGCAGAAGTGGGGAGGGAAATTACTCATTCCACACAGGAAAATAAAAAGATACAATCTAAGGAAGAAAATAACACTTAAGACTATTATTCAAAGTGATAATGGTAATCAATAGAAAAACTAAAAATATGAATATAAAAAATTGGGGAGGAGAAAGGGGAAAGGATGTTTAATGGAATCACCACAGCAGGGAATCTGTAGGCACTGTTAACATCAATAAATCAAGTAACAGAGTGTGAGTACGTTATTCACAGTTATGAAAGTAACATAAGTAAAAAAACTAAAATGACAACAAAGTAAAAAAAGAAAAGAAAAAAGCAAGGTTGCTCCTGAGTTGGGAAGTGAGAGGACATTTTAAAGTTTTTATTTCTAATTTTTATATTGGGCTTGGATGTGTATTTTTATCTACATGAGTTACATTTTTATATTTGAGATAATAATTAAAATAATAAATAGGCAAAAATATAGATCTGATTTGGACATTTCCCTAGGAGTTCAGGCACTTGCAGTAACTCCTCATCGCCCCAGGATCAAGTTTAAACTCTCAGACAGATTCAAGACCCTTCCCTGTCGGACCTCCGGCTTCAAACACCCACCTACTTCTGCTCTGGAGCCCCAGGGAAGGCACCTCCGCCGGAAAGCCCTCTGGAGGGAGAGTCCGCCCTCTGCTGGTGCCAAGACGTTACTACGCGTGGGGTGCGGTCCTTTGCGGAGACTACGCCCCCACCCCTCACCCTGGGCTCCTCGTGTCACGTGATTCCAGCCCCTTCCCAGCGGGGGGTGGGGTGGGGGGTGGAACCCTGGAAGCCGGAGCCGAGGGTCTCCATGTGAGCGCTACTGGACGGTTTGGAGCGGAGTTCCCTGAGCGGTAGGAGACTGTTCTAGCTAGGCCTGGGGACCTGGCTGGGGTGTCTGGCACAGAAGGACCGGTGTGAGGGGTTCGGACAGGTGATGGGGATCAACCCCCGTGGTGTCTGGTCCGTACGGAGCGGTTTAGAGCTGGCTTGACCCTGGGGAGAGGATACCGGCTCGTCCACGCCTAGCTGCGTGTCCGTGGGCCAGACACTAAACGTCCCTGTGCCTTACCTGTGGCTGCTGATGTGAAATGAAATAATGCACAAAAGTAAGTAATTAATAACTGGTAACTGTTAATATTACATCTCCTTTAAGCAAAAGTGTAAACCCTCAGAGATGGGGAGACCTTAAGGTCGCTGTAGCTCAACGCAGCTTGGTGGCAGGCCCCTCTCCCCCTGGAGCACAGGTCCTGCTGGGCTGTTTCTGTCCCTGGGTGCTGTCTCCGGTCCCTGTGGCCTCCAGGCCTCCAGAGTGGGCAGGGCCTGACTGGCACCTGGAAGGGAGGCTGTCTCCCACATTCCCAGTGGGCTGGTGAGTCAGACCCGCCATGATGAGGTCTCTTCTCTGTCTCCTCACAGGGCCCACGCTCTGCTTTTGGCCCCTCTAGGTGGACAGACATGTCTCAGGAAGGGGCTGCAGAGGGCTCCAGCACAGAGGACCCTGTTCTCGGTCCCCGGCACAGCTGTGGGCTTTTCCAGGAGGACATGGAGGAAGCTGGCTCCGCGTTAGGCCTGGCACCAGACCTGCCTGGGGCGAGCTCTGGGGCCCGGGTTTCAGCTGGCAGAAGGAAGAGGGTGCTCAGGGGAGAGGCCTGTCGAGGTGCCAGCTCCCAGGCTGGGGGTGCCTCTGGGGCCAGCCTGGTGGTCCTGGAGCTGCAAGCTGCTGGACAAAGCCAGGATTCGGTGCCTGGCCCTCAGCTCCACCTGCGGCTGCCCACAGTGCCTGCTCGGGGAAGGGCTCGGGCCTGCAAGAGGCTCCAGGTTTCTCTACACAACATCTTGGATAAAAATTGGGCCAGGAATCTTTGTAGCATGTCTGTGGGTCTCCCAGCGAGAGTTTTGGTTGGCAGGGGGAGGCCAGCAAGGGTGGAGGAGGTGAGCTGCCCCCGGCCCAGAGAGGTTGGAGAAGGGGGGACGAGTTCTCTAGGGTGTGATGGAAGAAGCCCCACTCTCAGTAAAGAGGAACCCCCCCAAAGGGCACTGCCATCCTTACGAAGCTCAGCCCCTGTTTGGACCAGAAAGAAAACCAGGAAGTGTACAGCCTGCTCAGAGGATGGGGAGGGGTTTGGTGGCTTCTTGAGGCTCGGTCAGAGCCCTGGTGGGGACAACCCCCAGTGTATGGGAGATCCCCCACAAGGTACTGACATGGGGTCCTTAGGAGGCCTTTGCAGTCCTCTTTCTCCCCAGGACAGTGGATCTGGGCTGAGAGATTCAGGTGGAAGTGGTGTGGGATGTGTCTCAGGAGCTGAGAAGTTCAGATATTTGCCCTCTGCAGGGAATGGGGCCCAACCAGGCAGCCCCTATGACCCTACCAAGTTCCCGCCACCAAATGGAGGGCTGTCCCCCAGGTCAGCTGCCCAGGATCCTCCCCAGAGCCCTGCACTGTGCCTGGGAGTGTCTGGAAAGGCTTCCACAGAACGGCAGGAAGCTGAGCAGGTCATTGTGGGGGCTGGCGGTGATGATGGCCCTGCCGCCCCACCCAAGGTCAGGGCTCAGCCAATTTCTCCCAAGGGGAGACCAGGCCAAGGATTCACTGCTCCCACTAACATCCCTGCTGGCTTCCCCAAGTCTGCAGCCAGAAAGGCTTGCTCAGACTCATTCATGGGGCAAAGAAGATCCAAGTGTGCTAAGTTGGGGAGGGGCCCAGTGCCCCCTGCCAAGGACCAGGGCACAGACAGAAACTCAGACAACTGCAGCCAGGACCAGCCGGCAGCATCCTGCCCAGGAGGCGTTCCTAAACTGGTAAGTTGAATCTTAGAGGTTGAGCTAGGAAAGGGCCAGGACAGTCTCTCAATACCATGCTTGGCGGTGGAATTTAGTAGAGCTAAACTGGATGGATTCTTAATAATAATTATCCTTCACGCCAATTTAAATTTTTTCTTTATTGATTTCAGAGAGAGGAAGGGAGAGGGGAGAGAGAGAGAGAGAGAGAAACATTGATGAGAGAGAACATCGATTGGCTGCCTCCTGCATGCCCCTCACTGGGATCGGGCCCACAACCTGGGCATGTGCCCTGGCTGGGAATCGAACCGGCGACCCCTTGGTGCATGGGTCGACATTCAACCACTGAGCCACACTGACTGGGCCCTCACGCCAATTTTGTACATGACTACAGTGAGGTGTACAAGTCAGAAAATGAAAAACACTACATTTGCTGACATCTTGTCAGTGATCAGTATCTTTTGGAGTTGGTAAGTCCTAGGTTCAAATTTTGCCTCTGCCCACTTCCTAGCTCAGTGACCTTGGAATATTTTTTAACCTCTCTGTTTCCTCATCTGTAAAAAGGAAATTAATTCCAATTTAATAGGGTTGACCTGAGGATTAAATGAGATGATGGTGTAAAATAATGTGCCCAGCAGAGCATGCGGCACAAGGTAAATTAATTTGTGTGAAATTGGCTTTTGCCTTAGGGTTAACAATAGCCTTACAAGGTGGGCATTGGCTCCGTATTTCCAGATGGGGAAGCTGAGGCTCAGGGAAGTTCACAAACTTTTTCAGGCTCACACACAGCGAGGGAGTCTGTGCCTGGCCATGGTCCCTGCATTGTTCTTTCACTTGTAATAATTGTCATTCTATGAGTCATCATAGCTAATGTTTATACACCAAAGGCAGAAGATGGCATTGCCTGTTTCTGGTGTACACTTCTCACATAGTTGAGTTTTTATCATGGTTGTTGAATACGTATTGTGTACTAGGCGCTTTTGATGGAATCTTCACATGAAGCCCAGAGAGGTAAGGTAACAGGCCCGAGGTCACGCGTGCGGTGAAGGACGGAGCCAGGACACAGACATAGGCGGTCTGTCCTGAGAGCTCGCTGCACTGCCTGCCGTGGTCCTTCCCTGCGGGGGGCGTGCTCCTGGGGAGGATTCCTACCATGACTCTCGTCACCGTATCTAGCCTGCCTACCATATGCCGAGGACTGTTCTAAGCACTTTATCTTTGATTTTCCTAACCGCCCTATGAAGTAGATGCCATTGGTATATGCCCGTTTTACTGATGTGGGCACTGAGGCTCAGACAGGTGAAATGACTAGTTCAAGGCCAAACAGCAAATGAGTAGAACTGGCATAGGAACCAGTGAGCTGCCCGTGTGATTTACCACTATTTGGTGCTATAATTACATTAGAATGTGGTTACATTGTCTTTGTAAGCATTATTCAAAACCATTAATTTTTAAAAAGATCCTCAGCTGAGGATATTTTTCCATTAATTTTTTTTTTCAGCTAGAGTGGGAAGGAGGGAGAGAGAGAAAGAGAAACATCTATGTGAGAGAGACACGTCAATGGGTTGCCTCTCACAGGACCCCAACTGGGGCCGGGGATCGAAGCCACAACTGAGACCCTTTGGTCCACAGGCTGATGCTCTGACCACTGAGCCAAACCGACCAGAGCAAAAACGATTACTTTTTTTTTTTTTTTAATCCTCACCCGAGGACATTTTTTGTTCAGATAGAGTGGGAGGGAGAGAAAGGAAGAGAGAGAGAGAGAGAGAAACATAGACGTGAAAGGGACACATCGAGTGGCTGCCACCCACACGACCAACCAGGGCCAGGGACAAACTGCAACCGAGGCACATGCCCTTAGTGGGAACCGAACCCGGGTCTCTCGGGACCGCAGGCCGACGCTCTAACCACTGAGCCAAACCGGCCAGGGCAAAAAATGATCACTTTTTAATAAAAAAAAACCAGTGTGTGTTTATCGTAGAAAATAAAGAAGAAATAAAAATCCCCATAACGTTATCATTCAGGGCTATCTCCTGTTGACATTTTGGTAAATGTCTTTTTTTTTCCATCTTTTTCCTGTGCATATATATCTTTTCTTTGCCTAGAAATGGGATCACACGTGCCATATTTTGAATAACATGATTTTTTGATATTTAACATTTTTTCACAATTAAATGTTAGCACAGAATGAGGAAATCCCTTTGAATGCCTCCCGGCCCTATTGCCTTTCGTCCGGAAATAACCACCGTTAACAGTCTTTCTCATCTCCTTTCTATGAACTTCTGTACATATGTGAACACCTACATATTGTGCCTTCTTAGCTATAAATAGGCTCAGACTACGCCTCATTGTTCTGGGACTTCTACTTTATTTTTCACGAGCTGTAGTGTTTGAAGATCTTTCCAAGTTGGTACCTATTGTCCGGGCGAATCCCTGAGTCCTGCATCATAGCAGTTACAGACACACTTGTCACAGGCCCTGCTAAGACCAGAGGATGGCCTGGGACTCCTTTTCTCGTTTCCTACCTCTGCAGTGTGGTTCAGAGCGGGAAGCCTGGAGGCCACCAGACTGGCATTGGGTCCTGGCTTCGAACTATCTGAGTGACCTAGGCCAGTGACTTCACCTTTCTGGTACATCTCCTAGGGTGGTGGTGAGGGACATGACATGACGTGTGCTTGGCATTTAGCAAGGTACCTGGTGCGAGAAAAATGTTCAAAAATGTTACCTGTTATTGACTTACAGTTTTGTCCTGCTCTAAGTACTGCCGGGCTGAACATCGCTGCGCATCTGGCTTCTCCCCATTTCACATTAGTTATTTGGGCCACGTGCCCAGAATCGGGATTCCTGGGTCCACAGCATTTTGAGGGGCTCGTTTGAGCTTGGTGGTGGAGCCAGGTGCCCGCCTGCCTTGACTGGAAGCAGCCCATGGCTGCTTTCGCCTCCAGGCCCTATCCTTGACTCTGCCGCACAGCCCGGCATCCCACAGCTTCCCAAATAACCTGTTGCCATGGCAACTGGTAGGGCTGCAGTGGAATTGAGGCCGGGTGTGACAGGGATGGGCGGGTGGTTGAGGACAGGGCTGAGTGGGGCGTGGGCATAGAGTCCGCTGGTCTGGAGCCCCTTTTAGGGCTCTAGCACCTTCTGGAGGCAGCCTGGTTTGTGCCAGGGGCACACAGATGGGTTCAGGGTCAGGCTCTGTTTCTCACTACAGGGCGGCTTTAGACAAGAGATGTCTCTTTTCTGAATCTTAGTTTTTTCTTCTACGAAATGGGGGAGTCAGCTGGGCCCCAGAACTGCTGAGCATCTGGTATGTGAGGTCAGTCGTGTTGAATTCCTCTGGCTTGAAGTAGAGACTCTGAAAGGGGTGTGGGGAGTGGGTTGAAACGCCATTTTCTTCCCTGTCCTGAGCCCTGCAGGGGCCAGTAAGGTCTGGAGCTGCTCTGTGGATGGCAGGGGGCCTGAGGAGGGCAGCTCTGCCCATCACAGCCAGGGAGGCACAGAGCTCCTCGGGTCCCCACCCAGGTCCCTAGTCTCAGATGTCCTGTGTGTAGCTGCGAAGTGTCAGGAGGTGTGTGAGGGAGGACTGTGTCTTTCCAACAGATGGGCAACTTAAAAATAGCTCTTTTTATTGAGTTCTTATTGTATACAAGGAGCTTCACATATGTCATCATCTCATACTTAGTCCTCACCATAGCAGTAAAAGTCAGTGATAATACCCTGCTTTGCCAATTAAAAAATCTGGGATTCAGAGAAGGTAAGGGATTCACTCAGCGTCACACAGCAAGTGAGTGGTGCAGCCAGGATTTGAATCCAGGCCTGTAAGACTCAAGAGTCCATACTCTGAGCCAGTCTGCGAAAGGTCTGGCTAAGGGGTTTGGATTTTTATGGGGCTTGATTAAAATTTGTTCAACAAGCGCAAAGTGAGAGACAAGTCACCAGAGAGTCGAGATACAGATGGAAATCCAGCAGACCCTGGATACCCAGAGGGAGGGGTGAGTGGGAGAGCTTTAAGGTAGGGTAGGGCAGAGGAGGGGGCTGTCTGACTGGGCCTGGGCAGAGGAAGTAGATGTTCAGCAGGTATACAAGGTAGGAAGGGTGTACCAGGAGGAGGGCAGAGCGTGTACAAAGGTCTAGAGGAGGAGGCAGGGTGTAGCCTTATGTAGTGAGGTGTTTGCTTCTAGTTATTCATTTATTTATTTATTTCATTCTATGTATGTATTTATTTTGTTAATCCTCACCCAAGGATATTTTTCCATTGTTTTTTTTTGTTTTGTTTTTTTGTTTTCTAGTTAGAATGAGAGGGAGAGAGGCAGGGAGGGAGAGAGAGAAAAAAAATTGACGTGAAAGAGACATATTGATTGATTGCCTCCTGCAGGACTCTGACTGGGGCTGGGGACTGAACCCCAAACCTAGGTGTGTGCCCTTGACTGGGAATCAAACCCAAGACTCTTTGGTTCATAGGCCGACGCTCTAACCACTGAGCAAAACTGGCCAGGGCTTCCATTAATTTTTATTTTATTTTTTAAATCCTCACCTGAGGATATTTTTCTGTTTATCTTCAGATAGAGCGGGAGGGAGAGAGGGAGGAAGAGAGAGAGAGAGAAACGTCGATGTGAGAGAGACACATTGACTGGTTGCCTCCCGCATGACCCCAACTGGGGCTGGGGACGAACCACAACTAAGGTATGTGCCCTTGGCCGAATCGAACCCGGGACTCTTCAGTCTGCGGGCCAACGCTCTAACTGCTGAGCCAAACTGGCTAGGGCTCCATTGATTTTTAGATAGAGTGAAAGGGAGGGAAGGGGGGAGAGAGAGAGAGAGAGAGAGAGAGAGAGAAACATTGATGTGAAAGAGCCACATTGGTTATTTGTCTCCGTATGACCCTGACTGGGGCCAGGGATGGTGCAACCCAGGTACATGCCCTTGACTGGGAATCAAACCTGAGACCCTTTGGTCTGTGGGCCGATGCTCTGACCACCGAGTCAAACGGGCCAGGGCTATTTATTTATTTAATGCTCCCCCGAGGATATGTTTATAGAGAGGAAAGGTTGCCTCCCACACCACCCCGATGGGATCAAACCTGCAACCTAGGTATGTGCCCTGACTGGGAATTGAACCCCCAACCTTTGGTGTGTAGGTCAGTGCTCCAACCAACTTAGCTGGCCAGAGCACTTCTAGTTATTTTTTTACCTCAGAGTCTTTTTTCTGTTGTTAATACAGCCACAGATCTGTGTTTTGGTTGGTAACTGCCCGTTCACATATTATTCCTTTTCTATTTCCTTTACTGATTTTAGAGAGAGAGTAATGGAGAGGGAGAGATAGAAACATTGATGAGAGAGAACAGCGATTGGCTGCCTCCTTCATGTTCCCCACTGGGCATCTGGCCCACAACCTGGGCATGTGCCCTGACTGGGAATGGAACTGGTGACCTCCTGGTGCATGGGTTGACGCTCAACCACTGAGCCACACCGGCTGGGCTCCATTTTTTCTCTCAATCTTTTTGCATCGTTGTATTTTAGAAATGGGTCTTATGAATATTTTATCATTGAATTTTCTTTCTTTTTTTTTTTTTATCCTCACCTGAGGACATTTTCCCATTTTTTTGTTCAGGTAGAGTGGGAGGGAGAGAGAGGAACAGAGAGAGAGAGAGAAACATCAATGTGAAAGGGACACATCGAGTGGCTGCCACCCGCACGACCGACCAGGGCCGGGGACAAACTGCAACCGAGGTACGCGCCCTTAGCGGGAACCGAACCCAGGTCTCTCAGGACCGCAGGTCGACGCTCTAACCGCTGAGCCAAACCGGCCAGGGCTATCATTGGATTTTCTTTGCTAAAGGTCTGATAATTATTTTTGTCCATTTGAAGTATTAGTCCATTTACATTTGTAATTACTGATTTATTTGAATCTAATCCTTATTTTGTGCTTTGCATATATCCTACATTTTCTATACTTCCCCCTTTTATTGCTTCCTTTTAAATTGATTTTTTTTCTTATTCTTTTTTATCTGTCTAGTAGGTTGGAAATTTTCTATGCCCTTTTTATATTCTTTTGGTTGCTATTTTAGAGATTTTAACATGAATACCTAACTTACCAAGTATGATGGTAGTTATATCTTTATCTTCCACCGAAATGATACGAGGATCTTGGGATGCTTTAGTTCCAAGCATGAACCTCCCAGTTTATGTACTGTTGTATCCAGTGAGTTGGTCTTGTTATTTTTTTAATCCCACAAATTTACACACTGTGATTATAGTATCATAAATCAATGTTTGTTTAGATTTAACAACATTTATCATTTTCTTTGCTCATTCCTCCTTGCATTTCAACTTTTCTATCTGGGATCATTTTTCCTTTCTTCTGCCTCAAGTTCATCCTTTAACATTTTGTTTATTGAGAAAAATTAAATTATCAAGAAAAACAATAACTTGGTTTTTTCTATGATATTTTGATTTTATCCTCATTCTCAGAAAAGATTTTGTCTGGGTCTAGAATTGATCATTATTTTCTTTAAGCACATTGAAAATATCATTCTGCTGTGTTTTGCCCTCCATATTACTATTGAGAAGTTAGCTGTTAGTCTAATTGCCATTCCTTTGTAGGTAAAATGTCTTCTGGTGAGAGGCAGTGTAGAGTAGTGGTTAAAGGTGTGGCCTCTGGAACCAGACTGCCTGAATTTAAATCCTAGCTCTTTGGTTTACTAGCTGTGTGACACTGGGCAAGCTGATTAACCTCTCTGTGCTTCAGTTTCCTCTTCTGTAAAATGGTGACAATAATAATAATAATAGCAGTACTTACCTCATATGGTTGTGGTGAGGATTAAATCAACTAACATGTAAAGCATGCAAAGCAGTGGTAGCACATTTTCAGTGTTTTAAAGTGTTAGCCGTTATTTTTTTCTCTTGATGCTTTAAAGATTTCCTTATCATTGGTGTTGAACAGTTTCATTATGATTTGTCTACGTGCAGATTTACTTTTACTTATTCTGTTTGAAATTCACCGAGCTTTTTGAATTTGTGAATTGTTGTCTTTGATCAATTCAGGAAAATTCTTAGCCACATATCTTTAAATATTACCTCTGCCCCATTCTCTCTCCTCTCTTGTTCTGGAACGTCAATTAGTCCTTTTCACTCTCTTCTTTGTGTCTCACAGCCTTTGGATAGTTTCAATAATTTATTAAAAACATCTTCTAGTTCACTAACTTACTTCAGTTGCGTCTAATATGTTATTAAGCCTATATTTTGAGTTTTTAATTTTAATTATTATCATATTTTTCATTCCCAAAAGTTGTGTTTGGTTCCCAACCAAATCTGCTTGATCTTTTTTTTATCCTCACCTAAGAATATGTTTATTGATTTTAGAGCAAGTGGAATGGAGAGAGAGAATCATCGATTGGTTGCCTCCCGTTTGTGCCCTGGCTGGGGATTGAACCTGTAGTCTAAGTATGTGTCCTGACTGGGAATTGAACCTGTGACCTTTTGGTGTAGAGGATGATGCTCCCACCAACTGAGCCAAGCCAGCCAGGGCATGCTTCATCATTAAAGAAAAATTTTTTTTTGCCTTTTGTTCATGTGTTCGACTCCCTTTATTTTGTGAAACATGTTATTTATATGTATGTATTTTGTATTCTGGTCTGATAAATCCAGTACCTCAAGTCTTTACTGATCTGATTGCTGCCTGCTGTTTGGAGCCTCGTAAGGCTGCTCTCTAGACCCTGGGACAGACCAGCCAGAGGTTTTAAATTGTGAAGGGCTGTTCTTAAGATCTTTCCTGCTTTCCTTCCCAGATGTCTCGTTTTCTCCCGACCCCTGTCTCAATGAATTTGTTTGAAAGGCTGATTCATTCTCATGGTTTAAGAAAAAATAAGTGAAAGTCTCCTTCCCAGCTCCCAGGGCCTGTCCTATTGGCAGCCTCGGTTATTAGGTTCTGGTGGACTATTCCAGACGTACTTTATGTAAATTCAAGCAAATACAAATTTAAAAATTCTTTTTCTCTTTAATGCAAGTGGTAGCACACGACAGACATTGTTCTGAACTTGTGTTTTAGCTAAAAATATGTTTCTTACTATAAAAGAAATATGTGCTCATTTTGAAGAACATAAATACCCGAGTGTCTACAAGTGGAAAACAAAAGTCCTCCTGTAATTTCATCCCCCAGAGATAGCCATTGTTATGCAACTATAAATATGTATTTACATAAATGGCTCATACAACAGGTACTATTCTGTCACTATTCTTATTCTTTTTCTCCTGAGAGCACACCATGACATCTTTCCAGACCAGTCAGGGCTTCTGCATAACTCAGCAGTTGAGTGCCTGGGCTTCGAGTCAGACAGAACTAGGCTCTAATCCTAGCTCTGCTGCTTAGTAGCTATGGGACTTTTCAGAGCTTCTCTGTGCCTCAGTTTTCTCATCTGTGAAATGGGGATAGAAACAGTACATACCTCATAGTGTTGTTCTGAGACTGTCATAAGATCTCGTGTGATTTGCTTCCTTCCAGACCAGCTACCTTCTAAGCACCTGATGAATGGTAGTTTCTATACTGACTCATCTTTTTTAATGGCCACATAGACTCCATAATATGATGTGTCACTGTTTATTAACTATCTCCCTTTTAAAAAAAAATTTGTTTTTCCTTTATTGATTTTAGAGAGAGGAAGGAAGAGGGAGCAAGAGATAGAAACATCGATGAGGGAGAACATCGATTGGCTGCCTCCTGCATGCCCCACACTGGGGATCAGGCCCACAACCTGGACATGTGCCCTGACCAGGAATCAAACTGTGACCTCTTGGTGCATGGGTCGACACTCAACCACTGAGCCACACTGGCTGGGCTAACCATTTCCCTTTGATGGACATTAGGTTGTACTCGATTCAAAAAACAAAAAACCAACACAATGAACACTGAATGAACACCTTTCGCCTCTGTGTGAGTGTCTTATTAGTTCCCTGCAGTTGGGTCACTGGGTCCTCAGCATTCTAATCTCTGGGTCCTCTTTCTCTTCAAGGAGGAAAGAAAAATGCCCCATGGGGTGAAGCATGTGTGTTACGTAGGTTTTTACTTTCTATTACTGCCCTTCTTCCTCCCTCTCCCCAGGTCTGGTGGGTGGGGGGTCCTCCACAGTAGAGGCAATCTCAGCCCCCTGGCTTGCCCCCCTACATAGCACCCTAGTGCACCCCATTCCCTATGATGTCAAATCTCAGACTTCCAGTTTCCCCCAGACCTTGGAAGGCAACCATTTATGATAATTTATTCAAGGATTACTTTTCAGACTCAGTAACTTCAAAACAATTCCCCATAGTTTGTAATAAAGTAAATGAATCAAAACATACTTAAAAAGGGATTAAAACCTAAAAAAGTGAGAAGAAGGGGAGGAGAAAGGGAAATCTTGTTATACCAACCCCTGCCCCTCAATTACAACTACAAGGCTCAAAGTTTACACTGAGCTTCCTGGAAACCACAGCAAAAAGGAGAGCAGGATAGAGTTTGTAGCTCATAAGACCAAAAACCTACTCTGCACCTTGAAAGTTCCCACCTGATGAGATGCGTCTAGTCTCTTGAAATGTGAGATGCATGTCTTATCAGGAGGGTGAGAAGCGTGTGTCTGAATATGTCTGGGTGAGGTGGGAACGAAGACAGGTTCCTTTCCTGGGACACAGCCAGACAGTTAGCAAGCACTGGGACCAAGACATGTTCCCTGTCCTCACGGAGCTTGCAGTCCAGGGGGGAGGGGCATCAGCAGTGACAGGTGGGGGGAGCACTCTGAGGGGAAGAGCCACAGCCACACTGCTGGGTTTTGAAGTGCTCTTCTCCTCTGCAGCTTGATTCTGGGGCAGTGATCCGCCTCCTGGGGGCCATCAGCCATGGCCAGGCAGGGGGGCCGCAGCCTCCGACGCTGGAGGCCCTGGAGAACATGATGGAGGTCAGCTCAGCCTCACCTGCCCAGAGGCCCAGAAGGAAGGCAAGGCTCAGGGCCCGGGGCCTCACTGGTTCCCAGGTACAGAACAGGTTCTTTTTTTAAATTAAATTTGGTTCTTGACATAGGTGATGTCACTTAACCCTGTGGAGAGAGACACCGTCACCCCTGGTTCACAGAGCTGTCCTTGCAGCCCAGAGAGAGGCAGTGACATGCTCATGGTCACACAGAATGCAAGAGCCAGAGGGTTAGGCTGCCACCTGGGGTCTGTGCGCTCTTTCTCCTGCTGCTGAATTCAGGAGCCTGACCGGAGCGAGGAGGGGCCGCCTCAGTGTGTTTGGAGAGGGAGCGGTGGGCACCTTAGTTCCCCAGCCTGCCCAAGTTCCTCGGGCTGCCTCCCTCAGGAAGGACAGCAAGGGGCTCTGTGGCCTCTCAGACCCCTTCTGCCATCTGGGAGTGGCTCCCTGACCCCCAGGACCCCCGCTTCTCCTCCACATACTCTTCTCTTGCAGCAGGGGCTTCCTGTTCAGGAGGCCTGTGCTGAGTGCCCCCGGGTGAGTGCTTCTGCCCCTGTCACAGGGTCCCCTCCACTGGAACCTGGGCAAGGAGAATGTGGAAATGGGGGGGTGTCTGGGCGAAGCAGTGTCCCTGTGGCCAGGAGGCTGAGCCCAGAGACATGGCCTCAGTTCCTCACCCTCCCCTACAGGGTGGCCCACTGGAGGCTGAAGAGGAGCCTGGTGAGCAAGGCTGGGGAGAGGACTCAGGTGAGGGCCTATGGAGGGTCCCTCAGCAGCCGCCTCTCTCCCAGGACCGGTGGGGACTGACGGGCGCTCGTGCCCAGCAGTCCTTGGAAGACAGGCTGTGTCCCCTCCCCACCCCAGTCAGCTTGTAGTCAGTCCTTCCCCAAAGAGGTGGGGGCTGCTGACCGCCTGGGCTCAGCTCTCAGACACATGGGGAGGGCCAGGTCCCTGAGACGGGGACTCCTCCTTTGTCTGCCTAAGCCCCTCACGCGGGGTCCCACCCTCCCCTTGTTTCTGAGCGTCCCCTGGGGATCCGTCACCCTTTTTCCCCCCACAGCTCAGCTTCAGCTCCAAAACGGTATCGGAGTACGGGACACGGTGGTTCGCGTCTTGCAGAAGGTGCTGTGGAGTCGGTAAGGCCTTCCTCCCTGCCTCCCTGACGTCACGCGGGCTCCCCCACCTCCCCAGGCCATGTCCCCTTCTGAGGGCTTCTGTGTGTGTGACTAACCCATTTTGTAGCCCTGAGGTCACCTGCCCACACAAAGAGAAGAGAGCTGAACTTTGACCCCGGGCCTCTCTGGCTTCAAGGTGATGCTTTCCCATTAAGCGCTGCAGCTCTGGGGTCTGCCCAGGTCCCCGTGGTCACTCACAGCCAGTGTTTTCAGACAGTGAGACTGTTGGGAGCAGCTCATAGATCTGAGCCTGGAGCTCTTAGTTACTAATGGTGAGACCAAGGCCCAGAGAGGGCAGGACTTTGCAGAAGCCACCCAGCAAGTCAACGGCAGATTCAAGGTTACAACCAGGGCCAGGGCTCCATCCTCTGCCTTGGCTGATGCCTTCCCCTCCCCCAGACATTCCTCCTTCCACTGGCCAGGGCCAGAGTGGGAGCAGGCAGTCAGATCTTGCTTTGCCACTACTCATGTGGCCTCCGGCAAGGTACTCTTCTCTGAGCCTCAGTCACCCTTTTGTAAACGGAGAATGAGAATTCTCATTCCTCAGAGAGCTGGGGTGAGACGACATGGGCTCATGTCGGAAAACGCCCCAAAGAGAAGCCAGAGCTGGCCCAGACCGTGCTCCCCACCCCCATCTCGCCCTCCCGGGCTGAGTGTCTGGGTCAGCTCACAGTTCAGTGCCATGGCCCTGCCCTTGTCCCCACAGCCTTCAGGAGCTCCCAGACCTGGAGATGAGTGAGGAGGTGGTGGAGGGCATCGCTGCTGGCATCGAGGCAGCCCTCTTTGACCTGATACAAGCCACCAACTGCCGCTACAAGACCAAGTACCGCAGCCTGCTATTCAACTTGCGTGACCCCAGGAACCCCGTGAGCGGACTTTGGGCTGGCCAGGCCCCCCTCAGAGGCACAAAGCCCTGGCAGGATGTTGGGGTGGGGGCTTTGAGTGGTGTGGTGCAGCCCCTGCTCTTGCCCCTGCAGGACCTGTTTCTCAAAGTGGTTCATGGAGACGTCACCCCTCACAGCCTGGTGCGGATGAACTCAACCCAGCTGGCCCCCCAAGAGCTGGCTCGCTGGCGGGACCAGGAGGAGAAAAGGGTGAGCTGTTGGGTTTGGTCAGGATAGGTGACAGGACATGGGGGGAGGGAGTGTGGGAGAGGGGGCCCGAGTATGAAGCAGGAGAGACACAGGGCAGAGTGAGGGGGGAGGTGGTGAGACTCGGGGAGCACAAGATAGAGGTAAACATAAAAATGAGAAAAAGAGCAGGCAGACAGGGAGAGAGGCAGATAGACTCCACCAAAAAATGAGGAAAAGAGGCAGAAACAAAAGGAATTGGGGATGGAGAGCTTGGTAGAGAAGTGACTCCCGAGAGATGTCTTCTACTTGCTTTTCTGCAAAGCTGGGCTTGGGAAGGGGGGGACTGAGGATGATGGTCCGGACTCTGGAATTCATGATGGACGTCCACCATCCATGGGGAATAGACCCCCTGGGGTGCTCCTGTTCCAATTCCAGCCTCAGAAGCCCCTGAAAAGGCTTGGTGAGCGACCCCACTGTCCCCACACTTCACAGTTACATCCCCATGTACCCTGTGTCCATGGGTCTCCCTCACCTGGGAACTGTTCAGGGGCAGGGAAGGTGTGGGCACTGAGCCAGCTTGGGAATGTTTGCCTAGTGGTTTCTGTGGCCCAGCGAGAAGGAAGGACTGATCTCGGGGGGATGGGGGGCAGTGGGATGGGGTGGGGCTAAGGCTCGTGTTCTGGTAGACACTGGGAGGCACTGATTACAATGCAAAACTAGAGTCCATTAGGTGAATCCGCCCACTATAGGTTGAACTTCTGTCCTGGCACCGTCAGGGACCAGGCAGCAGGACCAGCTGCGTAACTTGTGGGGCCGGTGCTGAATGAAAATGCGGGGCCCTTTGTTCAGCAACTGTTAAGAATTCCAAGATGGCAACAGCATTCAGCAGGGGGCCTTCTAAGCAGAGCCCTGAGCAGCTGCACCGGAGCCCACGCCAGGGAGGAGAGGACCTCTGTCCTCCAGGGGGCGGTTAGAAAGGGAGGGACAGACTTTCAGGAAACATTTCAGCTGGATGGCATTGATTGATAATAAGAATCACAAGTAGCCTTTACTATAAGCCCGGCTCCAGGCTAAGCACTCTACACGTGCTGTTTGATTTAATGCTCTTAATTCCTGGAGAACAGATAAAACTGAGGTTTAGAGCAGTAAAGTGTTTGCCCAAGGCCACACTACCTGTGTGTCTTTTATATTAATGGCCCAGCTGGCACTGCAGAGCCTGCCCCTTCCCAGGACGGAGGGTGGGGTGCAGTCAGAAGCAGAGCTGACTTGTGGGTAAAGGCGAAGTTCAAGAAGTCTTCCTGGAGGAGGCAGGACTTGTGTCAGAGTGTGAATGAGTGGAATATGGAGAGTAGGGCTGAGAGTGGAGGGCTTTCCAGGTGAGGGGAATGGCAGAAGCCACAGTGTGGGGGAAGGGAAAGGGCTGGCATGGAAGAGGAGCACAGGAGAGAGGTCTCCGGGGAGAACAGTGAGCACTTGGGTTCTTGGTGGCCAGAGCCCCCTGAACCCAGCTGAGCTGGGCTGCTCCACCCCACAGGGCCTGGAGATCATAGAGCAGCAACAGAAGGAGCCGTGCAGCCTCCCGACCTCCAAACTGACTCACAAGGGTGAAGTCGAGATCCTACGGGATACCGACCAAATGCTGACCCTGGAGGATCTGGTGGTAAGTGGAGCCTGACCTGGTGCTGGGCAGGGCCTGTGCCCAGGGATCCCACTCCCGACCTCACCAGCTGTGTGGCCTTGGGTAAATCACCTGACTACTCTGACGCCCACAGTCTTTGTTACAAAGCTGGGTAACGATCTTCCCGCACAGGGTCCCGGTGAGAATGGGGCGAGACAGCCACTAGCAAGGTCCTGGCAGCTCCTTCTCAGTGCTGGTCCCCCTCGTTTTGACCTAACCCCAAGGGACCCCATGTGAGTGGTCCTATCTCTGCATTTACCCCCAAACACAGACCAGTCACCTTCTGGTTGGAAAGCAGAAGGGCCACACTGTTCCAGGTGATGTCTTTGTGCATGTGAGGAACAGAGACCTGCTCTATTCACGGAAGGACTTAGGGGTGCTCCAGGCAGGGAGCCACCCAGATCGCAGGACATTGGTGCAGTGTGTCCTCTCATCACTGGGGATCTGTCCCATCCTCATGTCCATCCTGCTCCTTTCTCCTACTGGGCCCCTCTGTCTTGCACGTGGCCTGATACGGTGGCTCAGTAGCCTCCAGGCAGTGAACCCAGCGGCTCAGCCTGCTGCAGCGGTCGGAACTCCCCCGCGGCTCCCTGCAGTCACTCTCAGAAGGCAGCTCTGGCTTTCGCTGGGTTTCGTGGGTCAGGTATTCACCCCAGTCTAATCAGCTGTGTGTCCAGGATAGGGAGTTCAGGGAAGGTTCCTTGGGGGACCTTCCTGGGGAAATGGCAGTGAATATGACAAAAATCCCTGTTCCTCCCAACCAATATCCAGGCCAACAGCCAGAGTGCTGCCTGTGCAGAGAGGAGCCCATAGGGGTGTGGCTGCTCCCCAACCAAAATCAATCTGTAATCCCTGAATAGACTGAATGTGAGTGTAGGGGAGGAGCTAGGAAGACTTGAAGAGAAGACGAGAGGAAGAGCAAGGGGGTGGCGGAGTAGGGAGGGAAAATAACACACAACAATCTGTACTCCTTATTGAAACACCTACTAGGTGTGCCTTTTACAAGCAGTGCCTCATTTAAATCTCACAGTGACCTACGAGGTAGGAGATGCCACTTTCCTAGACGAGGAACCTAAAAGCATTTGCCCACGGTCACGTAGTTGGCATGGGGGGAGCTGGGATTTGAAGCCAGGTTGTCTGACTCCAGAGGCTGAGCCTTGGCACTACTCTGGAAGTGGTTAAAAGGGCAAGAGTAGAGGTTAAACATCTTAAAGCAATGTTTGTTTTGTGTTGAAAGCTGTTTCTATTATGAGGAAGAAAGGTGATTTGGCCATGGGCATCAAGAGTCTTAAACATGTTCTTTCTCCCAGATTCTGTCATCAGCTTCTGAGAACTTGTCCTAAGGAAGTAATTGAACGTTTAGGAAAATACTTTCTGCGCAAGGATGTCCTCAGTACCATTTGTAATAGTGAAAACCTGGGAATGACCCAAACACCCAGCAACTGAGGTGACGTGTGCACTGCCATGCCCCCACCTATGTAATCTCTCAGGGACTATGTAACATGGCCGATGCGTCTGCTGTAATTCAGGGACACAGTGAGAATCCAGGCACACCTCGTTTTATTGTGATTTGCTTTATTGTGTTTCACAGATATTGCATTTTTTTTGCAAATTGAAGGTTTGGGGCCACTCTGCGTCAAGTAAGTCTATTGGCACCATTTTTCCAATAGGCTCAGGTGATGGTTAGGATTTTTTAAAAATATGTTTTTATTGACTTTTAGGGAGAGAAATAGAAACATCGATGTGAGAGAGAAACATCTATCGGCTGCCTCCTGCATGCCCCCTACTGGGGGTCGAGCCCACAACCCAGGCATGTGCCCTGACCAGGAATTGAACCGGGACCTCTCAGTCCATGGGATGATACTCAATCCACTGAGCCACATGGGCCGGGCCTTTGCTGTATTTAAAAAAAAATTTTAATTGAATTTATAGGTAATACAATTATATATATTTCAAGTGTATAATTCTAAACTACATCATCTGTATATTGTATTGTGTGTTCGCCACAATAAAGTCTTTTTAATTAAGGTATGTACATTTTTTATACACAAGGCTATTGAACACTTAATAGACCACAGAATAGTGTAAACATAACTTTTATATGCACTGGGAAACCAGAAAATCCATGTGACTCACTGTATTGCAATATTCGCTTTATTGTGGCAGTCTGGAACCACACCCGCAATATCTTGGAGGTACGCTGTACAGTTTGAATATATATATATGTACACACACACACATATATGTGTTTAATCTTCAACTGAGAATATATATATTTTAATTGATTTTAGAGAGAGGGAGGAAGGGAGAGAGAGACAGAGAGGGAGAGAAAGAGAGAAACCTTTTGGTGTATGGGATTATGCTCCAACCAACGGCGCCACCTGGCCAGGGCCAGGTTGAATATTTAATCCTAGCTATTTTAGTAAAAGAATCCCTAAAACCTATGCATCAAAAAACTATTATAAAGGAATATCTGGAATAGCAACAGTTGTCTCTGAGTGATAGACAAGGGATGACTTTTTTTTTAATTTTCAAATTTTCTTTATTTTCCAAATTTTCTTCGAATTCACAGTACTTTCGCAATAAAAAAAACATTATTTGGAAAAATAAAACCACATCCCTGAGGGTTTCTGCTCATGGAGGGCTCCTGACTTCCCCAGCTGCCTTTCCAGTCCACCCCCTCTCCTCCTGTGCCTCCCAGGGACCCATGGTGTCCATAGACTGCAGCCCACTGGCCCTGCCTGCCACATCCAAGGACTCCACGGAGCAGCGGGAGGAGCCCACGGAGCAGCGGGAGGAGCCCACGGAGCAGTGGGAGGAGCCCACGGAGCAGCGGGAGGAGCCCACGGAGCAGCGGGAGGAGCCCACGGAGCAGCGGGAGGAGCCCACGGAGCAGCGGGAGGACCCCATGGAGCAGCACGAGCACCACTTCTTAGACCCCAGCTGTCACATCTGCATGGGTTGTGGGAGACACTGAAAGGGCCCAGGGGTGGGCAGGCTGGGGCTGAGTGTGAGGTTCAGCAGTAACGGGGATGTGTGGCCTAGGGTGAAGGTAGCAGGGGTGGGGTGTCTGTGCCCCAGGTCATCTCAAAAATCACCTGCTTCAAACCCTGGCTCTAAAGCCCAGGGCTGGCTTCAGCCTAGCTGCCTGCCCTGTTTCAGCTCCCGCCTCTGCTGTTTGCAGACTGGAAGCCCTCGTGTGAGCTGTCAGACTTCTCCAAAGCCAACAGGAGGGTGGAGGACAATGTCTTCCAGAGAGCCCCAAGCCCAGACTCCGTGTCCTCTCCAGAGATGGCCCAAATCAAGGAGAAACATTCCGTGGAGCCCCAGGACAGGTGTGGGACTGGGGGCAGGGAGGTGGGGAAGCCACTGCTGGGGCAGCAGACCACATGGCTTTTCTTTCTATGTGGCCGTGGACAAATCTTACCTCTTCTGTGGGTCTCAGTTTCCCCATCTGTGTGGCGGAACTAATCATTCCAGCCTACTGGTTCACCCCTGCATAACGCCATGCTTGGACCAGTGTTCTAGCACCTGCAGTGGGGACACAGGATCTTTCTTGAAAGGTTAGGAGATGCTGGGGGAAGCTCTGATGACCTGTTCTGCTTGGTCCTCTCTCTGTTCCTCCCTCTAGGCTCCAGATGCCTGCAGGCTCCACAAAGGCCCTGCCTAGTCAGCTGCCCTGGGAGGGGTCTGTGGCTATGTTCTCCATCAAGCAGTTCCGGGTCAAGGCCCAGCTGGTCTCAGGACACAGCTGTCGGCTCATCATGGTACTCGGCCCTGTTCACCAGGGACTCCCTCACACACTGACCAGCCCAGTCAGTTATTCATTCATTCACTCATTCTAAGATCCTCTCTGTGCCTGGCCTTGTGCTAGACATGGGGTCAAATGAGATGCCAGCCCCACTCCTGCAGAGACACGTGGATAAAGGACTCCCTGTAACCCAAGTCACAAAGCAAGAAGGACCCAGGAGAGGGATTTGTGCCTCCCTGGCCCAGAGGAGATTTTAGGAGTGATTGTTAAGTGACTAATGATCAGCTAGAGTGTGGGATGAGGGTGAGAGGTTAGAGGAGGGAGTGAGGGGCTTCTGAGAAGTTGAAGGAGATTGGCCAAGACTGGAGATAGGCCTCCAGGGGCAATTGGGGCTTCCTGCGCAGCCACTTGGGTCCTGACAGACAGGTTGCTCATCCTCTTTGTTAAGGCTGTGGCCTTCAGGTAGTTGGTATCGAGTCTGCCCTGAGTGGGTGGGAATCTGGGGGGCTGACTGGCCATGCAACCTTGCCCCCAGGCCCTGCCCGAGGTGATCCGCTCAGCAGGCTGCATACCCCCCAACATCATCTGGGACCTTCTGGCTAGCATCTGCCCAGCCAATGCCCAGGTAACCACCCACCCTTGGGCACCACCTCTTCTGCTAGCACCATACTCCCAGCCCTGTGTCCCACCCCCCAACTCTACCTCGAGCCGAGGCCGAGTCTAGTTCCCACTGTGACTGCGGGCTTACTGTGTGACCTTGGACAAGTCCCTCTGTTTCCTTCTCCAGAAAATGGGGACACACTCCCTCACAGGGGTTTAGATGAGAGAAGGGTGTTCGCCCGAGTGAAGGATGACTTCCTAAAGCTGCTCTCCTTCCTGTGACTGCAGGACATCTGTGTGGTCAGACTGTGCCCACAGGGGGCTCGGGACACTCAGAACTGCCGCCTGCTCTACTCCTACCTCAACAATAAGCAGTGCCATGGCCTGGCAGCTGTGGAACACGTGAGGGTGGTCCTGCTGCCCCTGCCTGCCTTCCAGCCCCTGCCCACCAGGCTGCGCCCTCTCGGAGGCCCAGGTGAGCATCCTGATGTCCACACCAGACCCGGCCTCCTTTCACTTGGTGACCAGATGGGGCATGTTGACGTTGTCACCCATGTCTCTGGAGGCAGGCACTTCTCAGAAGGGGACTCCTGAGACAGGAAAATGTGATAATAATGGTAGCTCGTACTTGATATTGCTTACTACGTGCCAGACACTGTTCTAAAGCTTACTTATATTAATTCATTTAGTCCTCAAAATAACCCTGGCAGAATGCTACTATTAGTTTCTTCATTTCACAGATGAGGAAACGGAGGTAGGGTCAAACCATGCCTACCTTCAGCCAGGTGAACCCTTCCCCACACTGAGAGCAACTCTTCCGGGACAGGTTCATCCTCCCACTTACTTTCCCCAGCATCTCATGGGCCCCCATCTCACTGCTGAAAAGCTCTCCTTGGGGTCTGATCTTCAGGCCTCCTGCCATAGCCAGCAGGCGGCTTCGGGGGAGCTCTGCATTCTGTCCTGCCAGGCCTTTGGCCTCTCCCCGCCTCTTTCCCCAGGACTGGAAGTCACTCACTCCAGCCTGCTGCTGGCTGTGCTGCTCCCCATGGAAGGGCTTCCAGACACAGGGGAGTCCAGCCCCTTGCTGGGGAAAGTTCGCAAGATGGTCTCCTTCAACAGAAAAGTGGAGATGAGATGCTACCAGCGGAAGGACAGGAGGCTGGATGTGACCCCGAAGGGCTCCTCTCCCCCAGGGGGTACCCTGCAGCAGAGCCAGGGCACAGGCAGCCTGGCTCCAGGGGGAATCTGTACTTGGCAGAAGCCCTCTAGAGAAAGGGGGAGACTGAGGGAAGAGCCTGAGACTTGGCAGAGTCCTGGGCAAGGGCAGTGGCCCACAAGTCCAGGCTGGTGCCAGTCCTGGCATCCCTGTTCAGCAGTACCAGCTGGCCGTGGCCAGCACCTCCACAGGGCATCCTGTCCCCAACAAGCCCTGCTCCAGCATCTTGAATCCCTGGTGACTATGAGCCACCAGCTTCAAGCCTCCCTGAGATCCCCAGGCCAGGAGCTCCAGCCCCAGCCCCCTACAGCCTGTGGAATTCTTGGCCTTTTTTGCCAGCCCCCTGCAGCTCCAGAGCCACCTGGCCCAGCTCCTGACTCCTCTTTGTGTCCTACAGATGGAGCTTGCGCTGAGTATCCCCTCCCTAGGGAGACCTGACCCTCATTACCCACCCGAAGAGGGGCTTTGATTTCCTCTCCAGTGCTGAATCCTGAGCTGTTCCAGGGAGAGACAGGGGCAGAGGAAGGGGAGGGCCAGTTCATCCCACCTGCTCCTTTTGAGTTTCCTGTTTTGCAAACTGCTTAGCGTTGATTTTTGGTTCAATAAAGATTTTGACGAAGTTGAGACTGTACTCATCTGATGGCTGGGCAGGAGAGACCCTGGGCCTGGCCAGGGGTGGGTTGTGGGTGTGTTTGATTTTTTTAATGCACAGATGAAGTAGCAAAGCTAAAGTGATGGGATCGAGGGGACAACCTTGCCAGTTGCTTGTCTGAAGTCCTTAACTATCACTGTGTGCCAGGTCACAGCTGTTGCCATGGTGGGTTTTGGAAGCATTTTGCAAGTATTCTGAACTGGGAGGAAGAAGAGATGGGAGAGAAGGCAGGACTAGGATGGGGTGTGAGAGAGAGAATTAAGCTTTTGAAGAGGCAGAGGCACGTAGAAATTGTTAGGGAGAAATGAAAAAGCAAGTTGCAATAGTTTTAAAATTTTTCAGTTACCAAGATTTTTTCTTTTGGGTAGTTGGAGTGGGGATGGGGGATACCATCATAGTCCCTATGTGTCTCTGTGTATCTGCGAGACTGTGTGTTTGTGTGTATACCTGTGGGTGGATGTCTGTTGAGGAAGACAAGAGATCCGTAAAGGATGACTCCTTTCTGTATCTCTTGCCAGCTCCCAGACATTGGCACTGGAGAAAGACAAGGGCCTTGGTCTGGCAGGTGGACATTCAGGCTGGTGTTAGGGCTGGATGGTGCTGCTTTGCCTGGGGCCTGGAGTGAACTATTAAAAACAGCTACAATTGTAAAGCATGTTAGTGTGGGGTGTACCTTGGGAGAACTGAGTCTGGGTGGCTAGCTGCCCTTGGCTGCCTAACCCACATGGAGAAGCAGGGCCTGGCTTGGAGAACTTCTGACAGGACCCCAACCCTTCGCCCGGGCCCTGAAGGGGTGTATCCCTGCCCATCCCTTCTCGAAGTCTACCTGTGTACTATCCTTGCCTGGACCATGCTGAACTGGGAGGGATGAATTGGTTGTTTCGGGGGAGTCTCTCTTCTCGGGCCCCATGAGCTCTGCTGCCCTACCCGCGGATGACAGCAGAGGGGGCCCTCGGCCTTGGGATGGAGGTCGGGCTGGCAGGACTAGAGGCCGAGCTAGGATAGGGCGAGGTGTGGGATTTTAGCCTAAGGTTTTGGAAGCGGGGCAGGGGCGGGGTGCGGGGTGGGACAGGGAGAAGGGACTGGACAGGTGAACCAGCGGAGGGGTCGGGCTCCTTCGGGAACTTTTCCAGCCCGGAGCGGCTTGTGAGGCACTACAGCCTCTGTGCTGTATGCAAATGACACAAATTACTATGCAACCTACAGCTCGAGTCCGAGTGGGCAATTCGGGTCCTTTTCCTAAGGCAGTTGAAGCAGGAGGAGTTGGAGCAGGAGACGGCTGTGCACTCTCTCCCGCAGGTGCAGGGCTTCCTCTCAGGGAGGCGAGAGCATTTGCTCCTTCCCGGGGCACTCCGGAAAGAACAAGCTCTGCACCCCGGGCTGGGACTTCCTTTCAGTTTTCCTCTCTGTGGAGAGAGGGCTATCGGTGGACCCCGAAATCCTGCAGCCCGCTTCGAGGCTGGGGGCTGGTCAACATGACGGCCATCCATCTTTGGACCCTAGTCCACAAGCCCCTTGCCTTTCTTTTGGCAGAGGAGGCCAGGATGGTGGATTAGGCCAGCTGTTGTTAGGGGGCGAGGCCGGCGGTTGCTATGCTCGATTAGATGTTGCTAAGCAACGCTGGGCGGGGCTCACGTTGCTAGGCCCGAGTAGGAGTCGCCAGGGACTCGAAGGACTACCAAGCTCCCCTCGGTTTTAGTGGGAGGCACCCCACGATGCTGCTGTCCCCGCGGCTCTCTCCGGGCTTCAGCTTCACCGGCTGGACGCCGGCTCCGCGGGTCCTTCCGGTTCACACCCTCCGCGGCTCGGCGACCCTCTGGCTCTGCAGCGAGGAACCCTGGGTCTTTGCGCACGTGGCTTTGCGACTGCTTGTGCGGTGAGGTGTGTGTGGGGGTCGCTTTTGGGTTTCCATAGAAACTTCTGTGTCATCCCATTGCTTCCCAAGGTTTGGGAGGTTGATTGTGCAAATTTACATATATCTGCATGTCATTAACATAGAGGCGGGGCCGGAACCGGTTTGGGCAAAGATCCGTGGACAGTTCCCTTTCCTTATCCTGACTGATGGGCAAGAGGGCTGTGCACGCGTGAGCGTTTTATTTATTTTTATTTTTATTTTTTATTAATGTTCCCAGATTTTGGTTGAGTGGGTAAAATGTAATAGTTATCACTGATTCTGGGCCCTGGTCACCTAATTGAATCACTAGCCTGAATCCATTCTGTTACCCACCCACCCCCCACAGACACTCCTGCCACCCCCCCCCACCCCCCCCACCCCCCGTCCCCCAGGCAATGGTTGGAATCCCAATTCTGCCCTTTTCTGGCTGTGTGGCCTTGGGCAAGTTTAGTTTCCCTCTCTCTGGCTCAGTTTCCTTCTCTGTAAGACGGATACTAATCCCTGACTCATCAGGTTATGTGAGGTTTCAGTGAGATGCCACTTTGCATATACTTATTGCTGCTTCTGGCACACTGTAGGCATTTTTTTTAATCCTCACCCAAAGACATTTTTTTTGCATTTATTTTCAGATAGAGCAGGAGGGAGAGAGGGAGGAAGAGGGAGAGAGAGAGAAATGTAGATGTGAGAGAGACACATCAACTGGTTGCCACCCTCATGACCCCAACCCGGGCCAAGGACTAACCTAAACAGAGATATACGCCCTTAGAGGGAACCGAACCTGGGACTCTCTGGTTCTTGGGCTGACGCTCTAAGCGCTGAGCCAAACCGGTCAGGGCTGTAGGCATTCAATGGTAGCTCCCTCCCTTTTTCCATAGAGCCCAGATTCTCTCAGAACCCAACCAAAGCAAATCAACTTCCTTTGCAATTCAAGACATGACAACTAACATCAGGATAAACTTTCAGATGTCAGGGCAGATGGGATTCGAGGCACAGGGTGTGGACTGTTGGTTTGCTTGTTTGTCCTTTTTGGAGGCTGGAGACCAGGTTGGTGGAAAATGGACCTTCTCACCATCACCTCATTGCTACCACCACCACCACATATGCACACACTTGACACACTGTCTTTCTCAGGGGCTTTTTCCAGAAACCTTGCATGCCTGTCTCAAAGGCGCTGGAGCCTGAGGCAGCTGCAGCAGTGGCAGCTGAGGTTGAGAGGCTTGACCAGAGCCAAGAAGGTGGGGACCGAGAAAAGTCCCCTCCAGGTCTGAGATGTCTGGGTTGGAGCAGGGTCTAGGGGGAGACTGGAGGCAGAAACTTTGCTTGGAGACCCACATATCTGAGCTCTTACCAGAGAGGATTGCGGGACCCTGATGTCACTCTCTTGCCCTTCTGTGCCGCAGTGTCCCATTGTGGACAATTGGGACTCCTCTGCTGTGACTTGGGGCAGGGGCAGGAAGAACCTCTCACTGCTGCAGCTGTCACCAGTGACACAGGGTTGTTGGGGCTGTGAAAGCAGAAGCTGAGAGGGACCCCTTGAGGGATGGAGCAGCATATCTCCTCCTGGAAGTTCTTATTCTTATTTGGACTCTGATTGTCCCAGATGGCCTCTTCAAAAGCTGGGAAGTCCCTCCCGGGTCCAACTTCACCTTCCTGCTCTGGCAGAAGCTCCTTCATCTGGCCCTCCATTCTCCCACTGTCTCTGTTCCTTAACAGCCTTGGCTGCCAGGATCAGAGCTGGGGCAGAAGAAGTGTTGGTCTCTTAGTTCTCAGTTAGGTTTGCGGGTTTGATTCTGGTCAAGGGCACGCACGTCAGTTGTGGTTTGTCCCAGCCCTGGTCAGGGTCATGTGGGAGGCAACCAATGTGTCCCTCTCACATCGATGTTTCCCTCCCTCCCTTCCTCCCTCCCTCCCTCCCTCCCACTTTATCTGAAGATAAATAGAAAAACATCCTTGGGTGAGGATTAAAAAATAAAAAAATAAAAAAATGAAATAAGTGAGGTTGGCTTTTATCCAAGGTAGAGGAAGATTGTTGGTGATGAGAGGGAATGTAGGAGCTGGATTCTAATTGGTCGGTTGGCTTCCTGGGAGGGGGGCCATACCTTGCAGTTGTCACTCTTAGCGCTGTATGCTGGACTACTATCTGCCAGTGGATGGCGATGGGCCAGCTCCTTCTCTGGTAGCTACCTGTGCTCCATAGGTAAGGGTTCCAGGGACAGGCTGAGAGCCCGGCAGTGCCCAGGCTGGCCTGCTTGTGTCCCACTCTGGGGGCCAATTAAGTCTCATCCCTAGTGGTGCAGATTAACAGTTAATAAGGCAGTGAACACCTGCAGCTATGGAGGGGAATTAAGAGCAACAGTAGGCATAATACACAACCTGATAAGTGAGCAATTAACAACTGGAGAAAGATTAATAGAAGCAATTACGCTCTGCTCAGAGCTCTGTAAATAGGACTGTCAATGGCTGAGGGATTCAATGCGGTCCCACCTGGCCCCACCCCACGCCACACCACAACCTCTGCCGGGAGGGGACCCTGCCCAGCTAGATGACTTTTGGACCACAGAGCCATGAACGCATGAGAAATGCACACATATGCAAACGTGCACATAGACATACCTATTCAGACATGCTCCGACAGATAGTCCCCAAGATGCAGTCACACAGATAAATAAATTTCCCACTGTTATTCACACTCACATTCACACAAATGAGTATGCACAGCTACACACAGGTCCTGCCAGAAATACATACAGACATGCACAGAAAAACTCCCAGTGTCACAAAGAGACACTTCCCTGTTTTACAGAGTTAGAGCCACACGGACTACCAGATACACAGTGACAGCCACATATACACATGTAGATATGTGGACACACACAGCTACCTACTCCTACG